TTCAGTAGGATACACCTTGGCCTTTCTGTCCTTGGAATAGAGATGTCCCAAAGGCAACAAACTACCCTGATGATTTCCAAAAGCTCATTTTCAGGACATCAGTTTGTACTCCTAACTTCTAGCAAGCTTAAGGTGTTGCCAGGTCAGCTTTGAAATGTTCAACGCAGACAGCCATGAGAATGCTTTCAGCATCAGAGCTTTCAACAACACAGGTCCAATTTGAAAGAGCTTCTTGTTCTTTTTGAGTAGAATGACACATTTTTATGGAAAGGAAACTAGTAAATCTTTCCAGAAGAGTTAGTAGGCTTTTCCTTTGAAGGAAGGCATCTTGTTTCCATTAACAGTTCTGTGTAGTTGTGTGTTTGGTTGGTCATACGTTGCTAGAAAGCTGATGATGAACATACATTTGACAACAACTTTACTGTCATCCACTCTGGGTACTCCAGGGTCCTTCACAAGGTCCAAAACAAAGACTTTGGTGTGAAGCGCAAATTCTTTTTCTGTATCTTACAACTGTGAGCTAGCTTTTTTTTTTCTTAAGGAGGTCAAGGCACAGCACTCTGGTTGGTTAAAATGCAATTCTGGCAGGATCAGTTAGGACACAAAGCAGGCAGACCAGGGGATGAAAGTGTTGTCACACTACTTATAGAAGGTCTGGATAATTAATGCTACCCTGTCCAAAAGCTTGGGAATATTTTAACACTATAAGGACACACTAGTAAGTCCTTCTTCCTGCATGAAATGGGCTGTGTGCATATTAAGTTCATCTTGAACTGGCAATGAGAAAATCCTTTGTTGATATAAACCACATTAAGTCAGTACACTTTTAGCAGTTGACTTAATCCATTGGGAAATGGTGGACCTATTGTTACAGAACGTTCCCCATCAGGAAGCCTTGCTTATGTCCATTCTCTTGTTACTTCTAGAAGCCTCTCCTCTCAGATAGCATCTTGGTTCATTTGTTGGTGTAATGATATGTCCCTGTTTGGAAAGGGCATATTTGGATGGATACAGATGATTGGCTAGTGATAGATGTCTATATGCCTAGTACTGTAAGTGACCAACATCAAAGTAGGTGATGAGGGTGAGGTTCTGGGGAAAAGGGAATGAAAACCTCAATTTTGCAGTTCTTTTTCTGCTACCAACTTAGAATGATTGACTTCTAGATACAGCCCTGTACTTTAGCACTGACCAATAATTATGGCTTATCTGATGGTTAAATAAATTTGCATCCTGCTTTTTACGGCACAATTCTTGTAACAGTGTCATCTTTTGTCTGATGTTAGAGTGAAATAATCACAGATAAAAACTGGAACGATCCTTGTGCATTCAATAACCTATCAATTAATTGACTGAAATTATCTTCTTTTTCAGAGGCATATGCATAAATCATATATCAGGTTTTCATGTGAGATTTCACTGCTTAGTGACTACAGAATTATACTAGTTTATTACTTAGAATAGCAAGGGTTAGATTACATTGTTAGTTCCCTCACTAAAAATCTCACAGCTTACTTAGCCCATATGTTTCTCAGGCTGTTCACATATTTTGTTTTCTTTTTTTCTCACCCTGCCACAGGTCAGCTGACATTCTTCCACACACCCAGATTTTCTAATGTCATTGTTTCCTATGATCAGTAATAGCAGTCACAAAAAACCAGAACAGAACACTCTTTTAAAGGATGGTGTTGGTGAGGAATGTCTTAATTCAAAATCACACATTCAAATCTAGGAACACTGAGACTGACAGTACTTAAGGTTTGTACCAGCTAAAATGTTAAGGATAAATAAGTATGTTAAATAATATACGAATGCTTAAGCAAAAGTTAAATGACAATTCACTCTGTAAATAAAGGTACTAAACTGCCAGTAAGGAGCTACAAGGTGTTTCTAGTATGCTTGTGTTGACCAGCAATAATTGAATCACCTGTTTCATGTAATTGCCATGATAGTTGTATCCACCGTATGCTAAATCTGTATTTCATAGACAAAACTGTCACATTGGATAGAATCCCCAGTAAAGTTTGTGATATCTACTGATATAATTGCTTCTGACAGTCTAAACATTGTATTCAAGGTATTTCAAGAAAATTTACTATACTGAAAGCAATGCAACCAGTCCAGGAGCTGTGGATACTACCAGGAGAGAATTTACTGAGAAGATAACTATTTTCTGAAGCAACTGCTTTTAGAAGATCCCCATCCCTAGTCAGTGCTCCCAAATAAAATAGGCTGCTTGTTATCTGCCTTATGTTATGCCCTGTTTCCCCAGAAAAAGTTATAGAGAAAGAATAATTTATTTTTGTTTATAAACATGCAGACTGATATTTACCTGAAAAAATGTCCAAAATTTCTAAGTACGTGCTAGCCTATTGTGCTTCTGCTTCTCTGCATCAGCAACATTGAATAGGGCTTGAAGGGATCCAGAACACAGACCCAGTCTACACTTCCTGACATACAGGGGTTATGCTGTAGCAGCAACCCGGATATTAGAGAATAATAGAACAATTCATGCTGGAAGGGACATCAGAGGTTCTCTAGACTGACTTTCAGCTTAAAGCAGGGATAGCTATAAGGTCAGATCAGGCTCTACAGGCCTTTATGCAGTCAGGTCTTGAATGCCTCCAAGAAGGCAGAGTAAAAAATGACAAGTGTTCATGGGGTGCATGAGACTTTTATAGTTAGATTTTTCCATCCTCATTTAGGGATGGCCTAAGATCCAGGGTACTTCCAGAGGTAAAATACAACAACCAAGTGTTGGAAATATCACTTACCCCTGAGCAAAGGCAGAAGAAAGAAATTCTCTCAAACTGCCCATGCTCAAGAACAGAAAGGAAAGTGGGGAGACATTTTATTTCATGCAGGATTTAGTTACATGGGATAGGAGATCAAGAAAGACCCACCAAAGAGCATCCAATAGCCTGGTAAGTACACATTTGGTTTTGAGACAGAAAATCTCAAATATCAGGTCTAAATCACCAAAACAAGGAACCTCCATGCTGGTCTTCCACTTCTGTAATGAGTTTCCTAATCATGACTCTAAGTTATCATAGTGTAAGCAAGTTAGTCTTACCAATTTTTAAAGGAAGAATTCTAAAATATGTAAGTTTTTATTACTTCTAAGCCACAGATTTTAAACTTCAAATGCCTATGGGAGTGAAAAAAACACCTCCTCCTTACTCTAGATTTTAAACTTCAAATGCCTATGGGATTGAAAAAAACACCTCCTTACTCTTCTGTTTTGCTAATTACATGGCCCAGCAGAAAGGATATGGCCATCAGCAGAACACAGACTTTACTATCCAATTCCAACAAATACAGGAAAGATATGATATGGTTAACAACAGGAGGAACAAACAGAGCAATATATTCACTCATAGTAGATGATGTAACAATGTAAAGAGTAAGCCAAGCTAGGAATCCAGTAATGCGGGAAGGAATAAACCAAGTCAAAAGTCCAATCATAACCATGCAAAAGGCACTATAGTAATTGCCAAAGAGAAGCACTGTCACGTACATCACTCTTGTCCTGTCCAGCTCTCAATCCTGCCCCACCACTGCTGGGAACTCTGGCTGCAGTGGATAGTCAGGGAACCCTTCAAGTAACAAGGAAGCCGCATATAATACACCCACCCAATTCATTGAAAACAGAACCAGCTCTTATACTATCAACGTGAAAGGCAGGATACCTGGTGTTAATTTCCTAATTGTTTTTTACCCAAGGTTGGCCAGGCCTTGAGAGAAAACCAGGAAGTTTTCTGCTGCTATTAGAGAATCCTCTGCCTTGTTGTGGGAAACATCGATATATCAGTTTTGATTTAGGTTGCAGGGTTTAGACCCCAGCACTTCATCTTCTCAAAATCTATTTGTTATCCAGAGAACTATCCTACTTGACTTTGAAAATTTCAAACTTTTACATTCCTTGTATAATTTAATCCAGTCAGTTAATTTAATTAGAGTCAGTTTTATTGCTGACTGTAAGAAGCAATTTTCCACATTCAAGAAGTTTCCATATTCACGAAGTTACACTGATGCCTCTGATATTTGGCTCATAATTTGTATTTCCTGATTAGAGTGTAAAGAAAAAGTGAATTTAATCTTAGTTCTCAGAGTTCCTTGAGGGAAAACTATCTTTAGGTCATGCTCGTGGGGAAACTGCAGACCAAAGCACTACCCTTTCTACACCTACATTTACAGCAAGGCTAGATCCAAAGGGAATATTTGCTGCAGCACTTAATAGGTTTATCAAAGGTAGGACTTCAGCTGTGTAAGCTGCAAGACCCTTCAGGGATTAGAAGAAGATTGTTTTTACAATGATGGTCTTTGCTAGGGTGCTTATGACTGCTTTGCAGCTGATTTGTACAGGCAGACTTGGTGCAAAATAGCCTTTGGCTAGCTTTGAATCAGTCCCCAACTTTCAGCAGAGACTGGGATTCTTTTGAGTACATGTCAAACTATGGGAAGAAATCAGCTTTGAGTTAATTCTAAGTGAGTTTTTTGAGCAAAAAGGAACAGGAACTGTGAACATAATCTACAACTCTTGTTCTTTTTATTTTAGTTCTTGGCTTGTATTACTCAACTCTTTTTCTCTGTGGTTGCAACACGCTTCACATAAAAAAGAAATCTTGTTAGATAGAAGCTTCAGGTATTCCAAAGTATGAGTTAGCATTGGTTAGCTTTTGCTACATGCCCTGGTAAGAAAGCCACAGAACAGGACAGGGTGAGAAAGCAAAACTTTCATATATTTTCTTGGAAAATTTGAAAACGAGAAAAAAAATACCAGTTTCATGTTCATTCATTTTTCCTCTGCAAGATGTGCTTTATGATGTAGCAGAAGAAACTACATGACTATCCCTTTAAAAGCCATCATACCAATCAGCAGGTTTAACTGTCAAGCAAGCTGATGTAGGGCTCTTTGAATTACTGAGTGAGGGATATTCTTCCTGCCAGGTCCTGTCCCCTGTAGGCACTACAGAGAAGTATTATAGGGCAGTCCTTACCTTGGGAATTAGCCTGCAAGACCCCAATGCTGTCATCAAACTGCATAGATTTGATGTTGAGTGACGCCAAGATGCATTCCTTGTCCTGCAGCGAAGCATCATCAATATTATTCTGATTGGCTGACAGGATAACGCACATGTCGCAGAGGTTGATGTTGACAGCCCTTAAATCAGCCCGACTTAATGGTGTACCCTTCGGCACAGAGAAAAAAAAATGGGGGGGAAAGGGGGGGGGGCAGGAGAGGAAAAAAAGAAAAACAAATTAAAGATTGAGAAGGAGCTTTGGGAAATTATTTAACAAGTATCTTTTTTATGCTCTGACATTAAGCTGGTCTAACTATGTGCCAGGGAATAGAAAATGTGTGCTAATCTAAAGGGTAGTTGGTGCTGATGGCAGCATTTTAGGTTCAGTCTCAATACTCAGTCAAGCTATTACTAACAAACAAGAAACAGGAATCATGCCAGCATTCTACATCTCATCAGCAACTTGAAATTGTCTTGATTTAAGTTGCTATCATGTGGCATCCTCTGGCTCTCCGACTATAACAAGGGGTGTGTTTTAAATGCCTATTTATCTACTACCAAGTCGCAATGGTCTTAGGCAAAGAATAGCAATTTAAACGGGAAAGCATTATGTGTACTGCACATCTGAAATACAATCAGGATAAAGCTATTTTTTTTCTACCTGAAGCAATACACAAAAAAGATTAATCCTTTTCAACGCATGTTTTTGTTCCTTCTAGAAGGAAAACACACTGACCTTCAAAGTTGTGTGATTAAACCCTTTGAAACAGAAACAAGACTTTATCTTAATAGGCACAATTCATGCAACATTCCCTGCTTCCACAATTCTCAATCAGAGAATGAAGTAATTAGAATGAAATGTAGTAGTCGATGGAGTTTTTTTCATAGTTAACACAACCAAAACATGGCACAACCCATTATGTTTTGTTCTAAGATAACACTTGCCTTTCACATCCAACAATCCATATCTCTAGTTACAGAATATTAAAGTCTGTGTCACAGGGGCTGCAAGGTCCAGGGAAAAAGAAAAAAAAAAAAGATTTTTTTATGGAAACTAAATGCTGCTCTGCTGCCTCACATGGTTTGGTACCCAAAGACTCTAATGATGATGATAAGACTAAGCTGTCCCCTTGTCACACAGTGACTTTCATAAAACTAAGTCAAGATCCTACTCTTCCATCTCCTGATCACTTTCAGTGAACATTTCAGTGAACATTTCCTGAACTCCACTGACAATATTCAATGCAAAAGTGAATTTAAAATGGGCAAAGTGAAGGCAGAGCTCAATTCTTATTCAGCAACTGCCACCTAGTTTCATACCAGCTGGACTGTTCCATGTTACTTTCAATAATTTGAGGCATGGAACCTTGTGGAAAACAGTATATATCAGCTATGATTTAGTTATAAAGTACTCAAAAGTATTTCAGTGATGATTCCTGCCACCTTAATTCTGTCCTTTGTGTCTGTACTGTGAACCAAGTGAAGCAGGATTCCTGTGGAGAAAAATAATATGCAATCATGTAATTAATTAAAGGCTTACTTTTAATGATTTTATGCAAAGGGACAGAATTAAGGCTGCTTGAACATATTTAAAATTGGCATTTGCTTACTTTTTAAAAGTTTACTCAGCAGCTTAAATGCCTCTTTTAGTACAGATTTTAAGTGAAATTTCCACTTCTGTATGTTTTAAAAACACGACAAATCATTTTATATTAATCTGTAACCACATCCCCATCAGATATCAGCAGCAAGTTTTATCTCGTGAACCAAAGCACAGAGAAGTAGGAAATGAGTTTGTGTGGCCTCCCTTTACATATTATTCCTACCAGTGCGATCTGCGAAAATTTAGTAGACTTTAAAATTAGTATGAATAGATTAGAATAGTGCTGATATTTTTAATTTTCTATCACCATTTTGAACCAGACAGGGTTAAAAATAAATAAATAAATAAATAAATAAAAAGCAGTAATGAAGTCTCAGTATTCTTCAGGACCCTCAATTTAAGTTGGTCCAAAACTACTCTAAGTTTGGGTGCAAAATGATTGGGGAATGTAAAGGTGGTGTACATTTCCTTGGCGCCTCTTCAGAATTCAGAACTGAAACTTTACAAATATGCATTATTATAATGGATAGACATACACTGGATAGTATGGAAGTACTAGTTGGATTCTGCTACACAGGATTACTAATTTAATTCTGATTCCTTAGTCTTTAGCCTTCACAGTAACTGGAGTTAAAAGGGATTGGCAAGAACAGTGGGATATTAACTGACCATATCTGATATTGACGCTACTTTTGTCACAGCACAAAATTTCGCAACGCCATCCTTTGGATCAGTTTACAGAAAAAAGCCAATGGCTAACACTAAAATTGCATTTACAGTAACCTACAGTCTGAATTAATCATAAAGTGAAAGCAGTCTTTCCATTTTATAGCTATTTTCCCAATCTTTCTGTTTAGGTTACATTATCTATTTATGTTTAATTGCTGAAATGTAATTATTAAGAACAGGTAAATTTATACTTTTTCATTCTGATAAAAAAATCCAACCTAACTTTACTCTGTAGTGTACAGAGCATTCTCTTTCACGGGCTTGCTTCCCACCTGCTTACATCTTTAAGGGTCATTTATAGCTATGACTACTTAAGATCACTAGCTTGGAGTGCTTCATTTGTTTGTCCTGGAGCTCAAGTTTCTACATCTTGGGCACATAAGTGAATGATAATGATACACAAGAGAAAAAGAACCTCTAAACTGTGATTTTAGCAGTTGTCCCTACTAAAATCAATAGGAGCTTTTAATCAATTTCAAAAGGGTCTGGGTTTTGTCATACTGCCACACACGAGTATGGTAGGACTCTGAATGAATACACTATGCCTTATGAAGCAGGCCATCCTACAGAAGTTTTTATTAATATAGACAGATATTATGTAGACTTTTTTTTCCAAAGGTTTTGTGGGTATAAATAATGTCATAAATAACAATTGTCATTCTGTCAGGGATATCACAACATCAGAACTGGCTACATGCAGTGCACTACAGTGACTGTTCGATATATAACACAGCTAATACATTTGATAGCAGCTGAAATTCATTTGATGAGGATGACGACGAACCAAACACTGCTGCAAATATCGTCTAATAAGGTCTCACAGGGCTCTGTTTTCATAGACACAGTACAGAGAAAATCTAAGTCCTCAGGCCTATAAGTAGACAAAAGTAAAAAAGCCTAAGATCAAAGTCAGTAAGAATCTGTCCAGTTGGTGTCCTAAATAACAAAGTATCAATAATATGGCTTTGGACTTACAGGCAAGATTGAAACCTTGGGGAAGTTATGCAGTGTCTCCCATTCCCTTCTCAGGTATTCAAGTGAACCCACAAACACAATGTGCTTGAGTTCATGGTAGTGAAAGTTGCTGGCTCGTAATGGCATCACTAAATTTCTTAATCCAATCAAAGCAGATTTAACATCCCCAAATATGCAAACGACTACATGCCCACTTAAAACTGTCATCGCTGCTTCACTTCGAGTCTAAAAAACAAAACAAAACAAAACAAAAAGACAAGGGAGAAATGAAACAAAGGGAAGCTTAAATCATATATTGAGTTTTAAACCAGGAAAACCGCAACTGTCAATATTTTTCATGTGCAAAGAATCAGTTTGATAATAGCTGTTCATTTTACCTTTATTTGTCCTTCATTAAACATACTCAGCAAAGAAAATTCCACTCTTGTTTGCAAGTCTTGCAGTATTCAGGAGGACATCATACTGGACCAAATTCCAGTCCTGGGTATGTTTCTACACATGTGGATTAAGGCTCTTGTTCTAATCAAAGTACTATGGGTTTAGATAAGAATAGAATTTCATCTATGAGCATTTTGGATTATAGAAAGGAGATGCAAAACCATGCTTTAGCTGACAAATCACTAGTGGGGGTTCTTATGACCAATAGGAAAAGGAAAATGTCAGTGCCCAAGGGGTCTTAGTAGGGCTTTGCGGTATTACACTTATCTTGTGAATTGAGGAACATATTCTCTTAGACTCAAAGTTTTTATTTTAGGACAAGCTACTACTACCCTGAGAAGCAAACAAAGAATGGTCTACACTGCTCTGCTTTACAGTGGATGCCCACCATGCACCACAGAGTTTCTCTCAGTAAGAAAAAAATTGTGTACAAGATCATGATTAACACTAAATTTTCAAGCCTACTGGACTTCTTGAGTAAGGAAGAAAGAAAAAGAATTATCTCCTTGTATCAGTGACAAGGATAGATTTTTGCACTAATTTAATCAGTGGTAATGTCAGTTGAGCAGGCAACTCAAACACCAAGATGATTAAAGTCATTAGGAAAAAATTACCTTCATTTCTGGAGTCAGTCTTAGCATTACTGTACTCCATCATGTAGCTGCAGATCCACCGATACCATATGGCCAAGAATTGTACACTCAGTTGTACACTTCTATTACACAGAAGTTTTGCCAATGAATTAAACTAAGACAATGATGAACTGCAAACTTTTCCCCTCACTTATCCACAGTATATGTCCTTATTCTAAATTATAGAAGGATGACAATGTGCAATACAGATTGGAATACGCAGCAAAGGTTTTCACTGTGTTAAAAGAATGGGAACTCTGATTTGAACTTTTCTCATCTGTTAAAAATTACACGAGCTTTCAATTTATCTGTGGCAATTACACTGAATTTCATACAACTGTACCAAGAGAGTGGTTTTGGCCCTTCAAACAGCAGAAGACATGAGCAAATGCTCAATTGAAGCGTGTAGGTCGCCCATGACTCTGCTTATGGCTCCGGAATACTTAGACTTTGCAAGACAGAGATTAAAACTTGAAAGAAATTATGTAAAAAATGTCACTCTGTAGTTATTGATCTGTATGTAGCCATGTACATTTGACTGTATATCAAAAAAAAAGTTCTTACTACCAGATACAGCTGGAATCTCACAGAGTCAAAGCAGACGTTGAGCAGAAAAATTAATTCTTTTCTGATTGAGGCATCATTAAGTATCAATTAGAAGACAACCTGGGAAATCTCATCATCTTCAAATTATGTACTAATTTGTACCTGTGTGGTCTCTCAGGACAGCATTAAACTTGCATGGATATAAATGTAGACATAAATTGTGGACTATGAGTTTAAAAAGGTATAGGGAAGCATTTTGTTGTCAGCATCTTTATTGGTGATTATACTTGAAGCAGAAAGAACCTGGCCAGACTTACAGACTCACAGCCTAGCAGGAAATAAAACTGACATAGCATCACCAAGACATGATAAATGAGGCACTCCACAGCACCATGTTTAGAGAAACACTTTTCAAAGTGAAACAATATGTAAAGATTGTTGTGTAGAATGTGTTTAGAGCATGAAGGCAGATTTCTATCACTAGTACAAAATATGGTACGGTAGGTTTGCCCCTCCTTGCCTGCTGAATAAGTATAAATGCACACTATTTAAAACAGCCAAACTCCACCTCACAGCTCAGTCTCTAGAATTTGGAATTCACTTGCTTGACTGTGAAAACACTGATAGTGCAATTCCAGGCAATGTTACAGTTATTACAGAAATCACTGAGGAGAAGAGAAGGCAACTGTTTAACCCCTGATTGCTAGAATCTGCTTGGGCTGTCACCATCATCGGCTACACCACTCCACAGTGCAGGAAAATGTAAGAGAGCAGGCTCAGGAAAAGCTTTATAAAGTGTGACAAAGTGAAGATCCACCAGGGAGTTCATTTCAAATATCATCAGTTTTGCGTATGAGATCTGGCGTTAGTTACTTGTTACCCTTAGGTATGAGTACATGAACATAAGTGGCACAAACTTTCACCAAGCAAAACAGACTGTGATAGGCCTTCTAATTAGTCTTAATGACTTGAGTCAGTTTGTCGGCTTCCCCAGTTAAACAAACAAAGCATACATAGACTAGGTTCACTGCAACATGTTAGAAAGGCAGAGTAGTACTACTACTTACTCTTGCCTATTTGGGCCTCTTGAAATATTGGAAATTGAAAAAGAAATTCTAAGAGAGCAAAATTCACATCAATAAATAAGAAATAATGCAAAGCAACATTTGCCTCTATTAGAATCATTACTGCCTTGTATAAAGAGATAAATGGGGTATGTAAAAACTATTTCCAGACTTAATTCTCTAAGGATTTGATCAAAATATACAAATTGCAGGTTAAGAAAAATAAATTCTCTATTTTAGACCAATTTTTATTGCTGCAGTTGACATACGGATTAAGATAATCATAGTCCTTTAACCAAAATGCCAACTTTGATTTCACCATGCTATTTCTGATTTCAATACACTGGATTTAATGACAGTAGAGATTAATTTATTAATCCACTGGACATCAGTTCTAGTTCAAATAAACTATTTTCAAGCAGAACTTATCATCAATACCTACCAAAATGACCTTTTCAATATCCTTGGCTGGACACCAATGAAACATCCCTGTAGAGTCGTATTTTTTCACATTGGCATCCATATTGTCAATCTGCTCATTGCCAGGAATTAACAAAGGGTCATGCCTGGAGAAAAACAAGTTGAGGAAAACATGAATTATAGATGGAAAGATATCCCAAGAGCTGTGTACAAAGAGGGATGAAAGTTAAAAAAAGAAATGTATTTACACTTTAACATGCTTTCAGTGTAGGCACTTCTGAGCAAAAGCTTAAAAGAAAAAAAAAAAGCTAATTTTTAAATTTTGGGTGCAGTTTTGAAGATTTTGTATCCTCTTTCTACACCAAGAACCATTTAATTTTAAGCCGGGCTTTCTGACACTGTCACATTAATAAAAGGTTTTTTCATTCCAGTCCCACCCCTCTGAAATAAATATTGGAGTTGCTATTAGTATCTGCAACGAAGTAGAAGGGATAGGAACAGAGCCCCATGCTGACTGACTGGCATAAGTATGGAAAGCCAATTACTTGCTTTTACCACATACAACTTCTGACGTGATGCTCTTCGCAGTAAAAGCTTTAACAGGCTGCACTTTAAATATTTTAGCAATTTGCCCAATCACATTTTGCTCTCCCAAACTGAAGCCCTTTAAAGATTCAACAGTGTGTCATTTTAGAGCAGACTGACTAACAAATGCCCACATCTGGAATACACAATTTTAATAACAAACAACAATGTCCATTTTCTCTGGCAATTCTACCTGTAATAACCTTCTAAGTGTTTTTGCAGCAATATTTTAAAGCACAAGGCTTTTCAAAGGAGAAGCAAATAAAAACCATTTTAATAAACTTTCTCACCAGCTATATAGTTACATCTAAGCACAGTCACATACAGTTCATTAATTTATATGCTAAAATCAAAAATTAAGCTAAGTACTGAGTGACTCCAGCACTCTCAGAGGCTAATGAGGACCCCTAAGTAATTGCATTATACAATACCATTAGAAGGAAGATTGTGATTACAAGGCACAAGGTAAACTGACCCTAAAATCTGAAATTCAAGGAGGGAACAGAGCTGGCAAAACTACAGACTTTACTTAAGGATTTTGTCATGAGTGCTGGACATATCCTGATACAGAATTGTAACATTTCAAAGAAAATATCTGCAATGCAGGAATATGGCAAGTAGCCTGTTGAAGAAACTCCAAACTGTAAAGTTTACTGTTTTTAAAGAATATGAGTCAGCTTTAAGAACCTTTCTTGTGCATTGTCTACTGAAGCCATAGACACTGCTGTACACAGTGTATGATATAAGTTAACTTACCCTGAACATAGTGTGATATGTTACTATGCTTAAACCAGTTATGCTTGCGTGTCATCTCTAATGACATCTGGGTGATTAATTTGTGTAATTTTATAGCCACTGATTATATCCATTGAAATCAGTGGAAAATCCTCACTCACTTCACTCCAACAGGGTCAACTCCATAGAAAGTGGCTTAGAAGAACTTGAGAAACTATTAATACAATGTTGCATTTAAACCACGGTCTTTTGATGTTTTAAGAAAAAAAGAATGTACTACAGGACAAAGGTATAAGTCAGACTCATCTGCAAAAATAAACACTATGTTTTCAAAGCTTTTTACATTCATTCAACACAGATACAGTTCAGTGCATTTCACTATCAACCTACTGGCAACAGAGGATTCTCCACAGGACTACCTTCAGTCTCTGACCCTACTCCTTAATCCTACTACTTAATAATGGAAAGGCCTTGCAAAAGTGTGCTCCCTCTTTTGTGGGAAGCAGAAGTGATTTGGTTAAAAGCTGTACCAGGAGTTCTGTAATGGCTTTTTGTTGGTTTGTTTTTAATTTCTAGAAAAATACATAGACTCTGCATTCTCTTAGTTTTGTGATGAGAACACAAAGATAGAACAGTGATGCTATTTATAGGGCAGTTCTTGCTGCTCATAGTTGCATGTGGTACTGTAAGGTCTGCAACCATGGGTACAATGCCACAGGTCCCATATTTTGGATAGATCTGCCTCACAGGGAGTTCTGCTGTCTCCCTGGAGCCAAAGTTAAGGACATCACTAGGAAACTTCCCAGCCTAGTAAGGTCCTCAGATTACTCGCCCCTGCTCTTCTTCCAGGGGGGAGGTGACGATGCAGTCACACATAGCATGAGAACA